AACATGGGTTTACAACTAATGACTATATCCATACTTTGTTATCATGGAAGCTCACTTCTATCCAAATATATATATTTTTTTCATATTCTGACTTTTTTTCTTGTTTAGAAATATGAAGAATGGAAGGAGAATTTGCCAGATTTCAGTTGGGTAAAGGACATGTTACCAGAATCTGAAAAACTTGACCAGTTTCGAGCTAGTCTGATAGACCTGAAGGACAAGGTAACCCTTCCCGAAAAGGGTTGGCTCAAACGTAATCTCTCGGCTGCAGGAGACAGGCTATATTGGCTAGGAGAAAGGCTGGAAGGATCAACTGATGGAGATAGCACAACGGCAATGGCCGAAGGTATGGAATTTGATTTTGTTTTTCTATGTATGTTTGTATTGTATATCTGGAAATACTTTTCTAAATCACACACAAAAAAAAACTAGTGTATTTAAACTTTTAAGGGTCCAGCTCATTGTACTTAGTAGTCAGTTCTATCAAGCACAAAATACATGTATTAGCATATTACTGAACTCAGGCTGTGTTTTACAAATTTCAAAGGTATTTTAAAATTTAAGGAACCTACTTACCATCATCATTGGCACTAGCTGTAAGAGTTGTGATGCGAAAGATGTTACTTTTATCTCTTCATATAGGATTTGGAAGCTTTTAGAAACTTTACTAATTATTCTTATAATTAGACTAGCACACTGAATAAGTCAGATTGCTCTTAAATCACAATGTTTTTTTTAGAATAAACAACATTATGAAAAGAGTGTTTTACAATATCTATTATTCAATTTTGGTCTCTGCTATGGGAACCTTTTCAGGTTTTCTGTCATTTCTTGCTTTTTTATTTTGCTGCAATGAATGATTTTGAAGATTGTTATTGATACTCTGGCTGAAACTTATCGTCAACAAATTGTTCTCTTAAGACTTGATTATGAGGAAGAGCGTTGTACAGTATGTCTTCAATTATTGCAAAAATCCACGACATTGTTGGAAACGAAAAGCCTCTTTTCTTGACTTTTGATTGTATGAATTATAATGATCCACTTAGGTAAGCTTCGTCATGGAAAAGATATCTACAGTATTTTAACATACTTCATCCTGAACACAAGAATTTCCAAACTTCCTTGACTGTAGGGATATATCTTGATAGTTTTCATTAGCTTGATTATAGCATTAGTTGATCGAGGTTGTTGACATTTATCACTTCATCCTCATCTCAAAGGTTTCCTGGTTTCCTGAATTTTCCTTATTAATCCTTCTTGATTTGAGTTCAGAAGTAGTTGAGTGAAGTTACTGAAATTGACCACATTTGTACACTTATGTAATACTTAAATTGTCGTGTGTTTAATTAAATTTTATTTTCAAATGTTCCATGTTGAGTTTAGTGTACTAGCAACTGGAAGCAGAATACAAGCTAAGACTATTTGTTTGTCCTTCTGTGTCTTAAAATAAAATTCTTCCATATTAGTATGACAGAAATGTTATGAAGTTGTTCTTCTGTTATGTTATTTCTTGATATATTAACAAGTCACGAAACATTGTACTGAATTTTTGTGCATGCCAAATGTGATTCTGTTGGAGTGGCAGTGAAAAACTGTTGAGTTTATTATGCCTTTAATTGTAACATTATCATATGGATTTTTTTACTCTGACACAATCAACAGTTTCTAGGCCAGTTCATTCATCTGTCAGAAGCTTGGTATCAAAATATATAGAAGTTTCTATTTAAAAAAAAAATTATGATTTCATGATTAGTTCGGTATTCAACCAATAAAATGTTAAATCTGTCTTTGGACGATTTTGTAAATATATCAGATATACATGTAAGATTATTAATTGTTCTATATTTTGAGTAGTTTTAATTAATGAACAATACATTGCACGCTGAAATGGATGAATTGTTTGGCCAAGAGAAACAAGAAAATAGACTAAAAACCCATGTTCATTTGATATTGTCAGGTATATACACACAAGTATATTTCAGAGTTTTGGTTTCGTTTTAGCATTACAATAATAGTTAAAATGTATGCTCACTTGATATATGTGCGTTAATTTCCCCTTCTTGTAGACAGCATGTTACAGCATAAGCTGTCAAAGTGATATAGCATTAGTAAAACCCTCATGTGACAGACTAAAAATGAACCTTGACAATTGTGATAGGTCCAAACAACCAAAGTCAGACTTGTTAGGCAAAACCACAAAAGATAATCTGATCTCTCTTTTGTTGGAAAGAGAACCTTTTTTTTTGGGGGGGGGGGTGTAGTGAATATTGTTTAAAAAATATTAAAATTTGGTAGAGTTAAATTATACATTCTTCAGTTAATTTTATACCTTTTAGTTCACCTTGGTTTGACAACATATGCATGAATGTTTGTAAGTAGAAAACGCTATTGGTTTTATTTATTAGTTAAATCAGTGTCCAACCTTTATATGCCACGTAACCCTAGTCAGACCTTTGAACCAGTGTTGTGCACCTGACACATATAATTTCTTTAAAAAATAATTCAAAGGTAAGTCAAAAGTATGCAAACATTTATTGCTAGCTAGTGGTATGCAGTGGTTATTCATTGAGACTTTTCTAAAAGTTTGAGGTATTGGGTTTATTTTCTTTTTAACGTTGTTTAAAGGTTCTCGGGTAACTTCAGAAAAGTCTCTGTTTATTCCACATGTTAGAAACCACTGAATTATAATTATATGATAATGTAAGTCATTTGTAAGAGAGTTATAACTTTTAATTCTTGTATGTTTCTCAACTAATGGTTTACACAAAGATTGACATGGCATTCCTTGTCTTCAGCTAGCTTAATCAACATGTATCGTAGTGAGAAAGGTTTCACTTAACAGTTGGGATGTTAATTATAAAGTTTTGTGCTACTAGTGATATAATATTATACAAAATAAATGGATGTGTAGTTGGGAATATACTGTTTATTTCTAGAGGTTGGCAAATGTATCCGTATTTCTAGCCTAGTGTAATTCTAGTTCATCAGATGTGGTATTGCATTGACAAACTGATTTCATGAATTAACGTTCGTTAAGTAGGCAGTGGATAAATTTAATTTTGACCTTTTCTTAAGATTTCTACTCAAAAATTCCTTAAATAAATGAAAATAGATGACTTGAACAGTGTGCAATCAAAGTCTAATTGAAGTGGAAATTGGTTAGTTAAATCACTACATTTCTTGTAACAATTGGTTAATTGACCTGCTACAGATTATCTGTCAGTTGGTTAATTGACCTGCTAAAGATTATTTGTCAGTTAGTTAATTGACCTGCTACAGATTATCTGGCAATTGGTTAATTGACCTGCTACAGATTATCTGGCAATTGGTTAATTGACCTACTACAGATCATCTGTCAGTTGACTAGTTGACCTGCTACAGGATATCTGTCAGTTGACTAGTTGACCTGCTACAGGATATCTGTCAGTTGACTAGTTGACCTGCTACAGGTTATCTGACAGTTGACTAGTTGACCTGCTACAGGTTATCTGTCAATTGACTAGTTGACCTGCTACAGATTATCTGACAGTTGACTAGTTGACCTGCTACAGATTATCTGGTAGTTGACTTGATACAGATCATCTGGCAGTTGGTTGATTGACCTGCTACAGATCATCTGGCAATTGATTAGTTGACCTGCTACAGATAAACTAGGAATTGATTAGTTGACCTGCTACAGGTGAACTATAGTGAGAAGTTATTGACAGCTGATGAGTGATGTTAGTTTCTGCCAGATTAAAAAAAAATGTTTTTCGTGTGCTTCTTGTTACTGTAATAGAAGTTTTCAGTTGAGAGTTCATCCCGTGTGTACATGATAAAATCTTTCCCACTTATAGTTGTTGAGAAAAGTCTGCTCCATGGTATATCAATATTCTTACATTATTCAGCATGAGGTACATGTTACCGTGTTTGGTTAAGCCTATTCTTACATTATTCAGCATGAGGTACATGTTACCGTGTTTGGTTAAGCCTATTCTTACATTATTCAGCATGAGGTACATGTTACCGTGTTTGGTTAAGCCTGTATGTTTTTGTGTATTTCTTGCTTATAATGTTAAATCCAGATTTTGTTTTTTTATTCTATCAGTTTGAATATTCTCCCATTTTATTGTGCATGTTTTTTGTTTTTTTGAATTGGAATGCATTTTTACCTTTTTCGTTCATTCTGTTTGTATGTATATGCTTACATGTGTTCTCCGTTTATAGATTTTGAGTAAAATCATGTTTCTTTCTTGTTTTAAATATTTCAATAAATAAATTAATGTTTTTAGCAGCAAATTCCAATTTGATATATTAATACATAATACATATCCTTACTCATGATAGCAGCTAGTATTATAAAGTGCTATTCTTCTTCTTTACACAGTGTACAGGATATTTTATAATCATGAAAACAGATACTTTTGCTTGTATCATTCAAATTAACCTCTTCTAGATTTTGACTCGTGAAGTATCGTACTACGTACATTTTTCAGTTTTAAATCCTAATTTGAGCTTAAGTAGGATGTTGTTTTGATTCATTATATTTGTTTTTAAAAAAGATATATTTTTTGTTTCCTAACTCCTGCTCCCCACCCAGGTATTTCAAAAAATCTGAAAGTAGTTTTTTTTTCCTTTTGTTTAGGATTGCTCCTATTATCAGGAGGTGTGCCCCTGGGTCCACGAATAGGTACACATATTTCTTGTTACATTTGTGTTAAAATCAGGCTGTACTTTATGTAGTCAATTTCCAAAAGATCTATTATAATTTATTCTCACTTGCTAATGACATTTATCATATACATGCCTTTTGTTTGAAAACTTATTTAACACATTAGTTGCATTTTGTTTAAAAATATTTTTGTAAAAATGAAGCCTATAATCTCGAGGTCCATTGTTTTCTGTTATTTGGCATTCAGACTTTTTTGTGTGAGAGATGTCTCAAAATCAAAAGATTTACTGTAAACAGTTTACAAAGTAGGATAGGTCTCTAAGTTATGCAGGAGTTTTTTTTCAGTTATAGTTTTGCCACCTCGCAATACTGCATTGTACCATTTTCAAAATTTAAAAACTACATATATATATGTTTATATACACGCAAGATACCTATGTGGTATTCTCAGGTGAACTGATATCCTTGCAAGTATTAGATAGGTCCACTTAATAACAGGAGGATCAAGCAGGAAATTTGAAAAGTAGTCTGATTTTAAAAAACAACTGATTTTTAAAGCTGTGTGAGAAGTAAGGAGACTGGAAATATGTGATGTTAAGTGAAACAACCTTTATTAAACATAAAGCTAAAAAAAATGCTGCATACTTTCATACATACTTACACAATGGCCTCTATTGGATCTGTGAATAGCTTGTTAGCTTCCTTTCCTTGAGACAAACATCTGGAGAACTGTCCAAGTTGACAATGAGCAGATCTCTGAAGATACCAATGCTCTGTACTCAAGGAAACCTCGTATCCTTTCTTTGCAATAGTGTCACCAAATAATTGGTCATTCTCTCACAACATCCACTGGCTATAACATGCAGACATCATCCACTCAGCCAGCGTAGGATGTTACAGTCATTGAACCTTTCTACATGAATTTGCCAATTTGTTGCACTATTCCTGCAGTCAGAGTGGATAATATCTGCTTCCGAGAAGAACAAAAATAACTAGGATGAAACAATTCCAACTGTTTTCTGGACCACTTGTTAATGCCAAAATTACATATAAACAGATTAAACAAAAATTTTAAAAATTCCAAAACTAATAAAAATGGTGGAAAGTATCTGACGTGTCTGCATACCTCACCTTAGATATCTGCTGCCTTACTTCTAACAGAATTTTTTAACATTTTAAATCTGTGTACAGTACTTCTTCTCTGAGGATCAACATGGTAATGTATCACATTTGGTTTCAACCTAAAGATACCGCGAAAAAGTTAACTTTAAAATAATTAAAACATATCTGCTAATTGGAACGGTAAAGACAGTATTGTTTCTTGTTCAAGAAATTTAATTAATTGAAAATGTATTTGTGTTTAAATTTAATATATCATCAGAGCTTGGGCCGCCCATCTTCGGTATTTTAGATTGAGAAAAGTTTTCTTCTTCGTTGTGAATAACTTTCGAAATTAATTGGTGTTTGTGTAATGACCCTTTTCCACCCATTTATTAAGATGTTTCTAGATTCAACTTGTAGTTGATTTAAAAACTCCTCAAAAGAATCCAAAACAGTTTATAAAAATTATCATTGTTTAATGTTTTTCCAGTTTAAAAAAAAACTGTCTAATTGTTACTCATAAAAAAAATACATCACATTTTTATTTATAATTATGAAAATATAACCAATTAATCAATCATGTTGCATCCCCAGTTGCGAGGGGCTACAACTGTGGTTCTCTGTTGTTCTCCTCTATTCTTTGTTGCATGTACCAACTTTTCTAATTCAAGCTTCTCTATTGTTATAAACCCAAGTTAGTCTGCCTTGTTCCTTCAGTTTTATATCTGATAATCTCTTGTTAACCTTCTCCCAGATCTATTTATATGCCCAACGAAGGTATTGCATCTGTTATTTCCTATATATCCAACACCTGTATATCTGCCTTTGCATGTTCCATTTATTCATCATCAGTTTTTATTTCTATACATATTTTCATCATTCATTTTGTAATACCACATTTCAAATGCTTCCAAGTGTCATATATCATTTCACCGGACAGATTGCACGTTTCCACCGTGTGGAGTTGGACCGACCTTGTGTAACAAATACTAGCACCAAGTTGTCACGCAAAAACAGCTAAAAAAACATTTGAACTATCTCGTATGAAAATGTGCTCACAGAATTAACAAACTGAAAAGCTATGTATCTCGTGCTGTTGTTTTAATAAGCCACTCCAAGAGTTGTGATCTGGATAGTTGTAAAAAGTGATCATTCTTGACCAGAATGCATTTATGTTTCAAATATTTAATTTTGTAATTGTGAAAAGGAAAGCTTAGTGATAGCTTAATGCAGATGTAGTCATTAGTTGTAAACCCATGTTGGATGTAAAATAACGAAGTATGGATATAGTCATTAGTTGTAAATCTATTTTACATGTAAAATAACAAAGTATGGATATAGTCATTAGTTGTAAACCCATGTTGAATGTAAAATTGAAATTAATATTTGTTCTCATAATTTATTCTGCTAAACCATCTTT